CCAAAACTACATCTGGGGATAGAATAGCGCGTATTATTACATGTGCGCCATGGGTCTTCAGACGCGTGTAACCATCTTGGCCAGATTAAAGGGCGATGGTCGACACACCACGCATGTGAAATATGTGTGTTTAGTAAACAGTGATTTCCCACAGTGTTATACGCCCTCCCAGTGGCAAGCATGGACGCGAGTTTTGATCAGGCAACGATCTGAGAATCCATCAATGTGTTCCATCATCGTAGGAATTAGTTAGTTATACCTTGGTATTGTCCCTTGTTTACGCGTTGAATCACATCAATCAACTTAAAGTCGCCGTCTATGTTAATATTTAACCCACATCTTGCGTTTTCACCCACCGCGTCTTTCAATAATCATTGCGTTCCCTGTAGCTAAATGGAAAACTGAATGTTGTAAGCATAAAAAAGTCATTGATCACACTCGGTGAGTAGATATATACTCGCTGTCAGGCTATGCATATTTTCAATCTCAATAAAATAATCATTAATAAAATAATGATTGCGGACCACACATCATCATTGGGGTCCGTTCATCGTCTACTCAGTGGATTTGGCCAGTTTGCAAATGATAAAAACAAAAATTCATTTTCATAATCATCGCGGTCGTAGTAATGCGCCCATGTGTTAGTTACGACACAAATTTGTCAGCGTGTCTGTCAACACTCGTCAAATCGCGTTATCAGCGAGGACCGGAGCTTCATGGAGTTGGAGAAACGTTCGTTGAATTGTTTGCCGATATAATTTTTATACGTCGGTACATGGAATATGAATTACTTTCCTCATCGAGTAAAAACGAATTAAAGTGCTAGCACCGTTTCCATTAGTGCCCAATCCACAAATATTAAATCCTCGCTTTTATGAAACACACAGAGCGCCCCCAAACGACCATATGATTGGTGCTATGAACAAGATGGTGTTCCTTTTCTGAACAAATTAGGAATTGATTGACGGGCAGGAAAATGGACCACAAACATTATTCATTATACATTGTATATTTAATCATTTATTTATTTATTTGGAGACGGCGGGCGGATATTAAATGTCAGAATTAATTTATTACTGTGGGGCCTTTACTGAGACAAATAAGCGGGATGTCCACGGGTTGGAATTACATTGTTACAGTACGCAGTAAACACATACAGCGATATTGCTACATGAACAGATTGAAGCAGCTTTAAAAAAATGGATCGTGGTAATCCCACATACTCTCCACGTCCCGTATTGTGTGACGTCACTAACAGTTTACGAATATCTTACTTACCTACAAGAGGCGATTGAATGGATGAAAAAATGAGCGCAATCGGACTGCATAGAAAAATATTAAAACATAAAAACTTGCAAATTCATTAGCAATTTGTTTGCGCTGAATTGGATGCATGGCGCCAGGGTTGGTCGAGTTATTTTTAGATCGGAAATTGACTGACGTGTGGCAGTTCAGATAAATGCAATGTCGACACTGCGTGACACGTGCCCAGTAACCACATCACTGGGCTCTGCGACTTGTACTCTTCTAACTAGTTTATCTCATAGCTACATACACGTAAAAGCTCTTCAGCGTCAAATTAATAAGGGCACTTTAGCCTTTTGCAGAGATTCGTCTGAGTGTGTTTGAACAAGTGGGCGCTCGGATAAAAGTCGATATATCGGCGCGATTTATCCTATATATAGCTAGTCTGATCCAGTGTGTCTCATATGCCTGGAAAATGTCAATATCCGAATGCTTTTAATTTCGTCGTCGACAATTATCAATGATAACATTCTGTTCTAGCAACGACGACCTGATAAGTTGCGAATGTTACGCACGGTACAGCCCTGGGCAAGGACTCCATATTAATCGTATCGATATCAAAATTGGCGACAAAAATAAAACTTGGTAAATTACAGGTTTAGTTTTGCCATTACATCGAGTAGGCTTCTAAAGTAACATAGAGGTATAAAGAATATTACGTTTACTCAAGCAGAATGCATTTATCACCGCTGCTGCTATCTTGTGTCGGAAATGAATGCTTTATTAAATAAACGAGAAGAACGTTGTTAAGTTGATCTTGAACCATGTGCAGCTATTGTCAATTTCCGACGGGTGTGTCGAGCGTTATGCAGATTTCTATCTGCCTGACACTTGATAAAAGCAGCGATAGTATTGTTGCATGCGTTCTATGAATATAATACACTCAGTGTATTGTAGTCCATTGTACACATATTTAATCGACCTAACATTTGGAGTCCATGCTCACTATGACGAAGGTGACGTAAGCCTATTTATCTTTGTTATACGCGAGTATTAGTCAAAATTGTCTATGTTAGTGTTATTTACACTTTGAGTAATTGTTGTAACCACTGTTTTGTTATGCTTACTTATGCTTCAAATGAATGCACGCTAACCCGGCTTTGAAAAGTGATCATTCAACACAATCGGGTAATGGCGTTTGTAGCATAGATGGTATAGGAAAAATGCATGAACGTGAGAATTTTTTTTTTTCGAAATCAATGTTTATATTTGCTTTGCTATAAATTTGTAAATGTATAATTGAATTAACTTCAAAAACTAAATAATCCACATGTACCAGTATTTGCACATGAAATTACAGCTTCGTTGCTTCGAATGAAATGCTCCAATAGCATGTCTATGGTTTGAGCCGTAATATAAATCACCCAAAACCATGTAAATACAAGACAAAATTCATTTGTACGATTCATTCTAGATGTAGTTGCATTGTCACTAAAGATACTGTAGAACACGTTGAAATAGATGTAGGCAATTGTAGCGGATTTGACTCTTGGCGTGAATTAACAGAATCTTAAGGTAGCGGGACTATTATTTGCATACTTGTTTTCTTCTTCTAATTGGGACCAAACGACTACAAATAGAAACAAAAAGTGTGTTTTTCATGCCCGTATCTGCATTCTACGGTGCGTTACTTAATCAATAATGAAAAATTACTTTTTTTGTAAAAAACATAATTACGCATTTATACTGGTGATAAGAAGTTTTGTTTTCACTTTTCCTAGTTGTTCAATAGTCTGGTAAATTGAATGTGTCTGGACAGTTTTATTCAAGTAACGCGTTTTGAAAAGTAGTGTCCTGAATTTTAATTTCTGTTTTAGTCGCATTGACCCCAATTCAAACCACAACACATTTGTAAATAATCCATGAAATAGTTTGTCTGGACACATTCAAGTTCCTCTCATTGTCACCTTAAAGCTGTGAAAATTTGGTGTTAATCCGACGACAATAAGTATACGTTATTTTTTGTTAAAGACCTTGTATTTTGAAAAACATAAACTCCTAGAAAACGTCGATGAAGTCACAGCAAAGATTTTCAAGCTTGTTTATCTGCACAAGCGATTCGTTTTCCCATCAAGGACTATTTTAACATGTGTAGGGACATCCAAATGTGTAAGGCTATTGGAAACCAAAACAAATTAAAGGAATGGGATAGCTATAGTTCGATAAAATCGGCATATGAAAACACTAAAATCAATGATTTTTTTCAGTGGCTGTGTGACCTTGTGTCTGACACATTCATATGCAAATGACTAATCTGTGAAATAAACAGG